TAGTTCCTTAAAAGTAAACACACTGGTGATAAAAAGAAATAAAAAAATAAAAGATTGGCTTTAGTATAAGAAAGATGTATGCCTTTGGTAATGAACCTCTGAAGAGATTAAACCATTAAGCATGAAAAAGTTTTATGCCTTTGGTAATGAACCTCCGAAAAAGATTAAATCATTAAGTATGGAAAAATTTCTTTCTTATACTTGAATAACAATCTCAATTTTTCACAACTTTTTAATCGAATTAAGCAAAGAATGGAGGGAGGTTGCAAAGATGAGTATGTGAAGTTGATTAATTGGTAAATACAACACAAACATAATATTAAAATAATAATTATTGATATAAATTAAACAGCCCCTAATAGCATAATTTAAGTTAGAAAAGGTGAATAGATTCAAGCTAGTAAACAAGTTTAAGGAAGGGTGGCTAACCCCCCCACTTTTATAATTTCAAATCACATATTTTAGATGTTGAAAAACAGCCCCAAGTCAGTCCCAAATCAGCCCCAAAACAATGGCAAAAATTAGAGAAAACGAGTGGGAAACACAAGGATAAAAGCTTGGAATAAGGTTCAAGCAAGGGTGATTAACCCCTCCACCTTTGGGTAGCTTTTAATCACAAGTTTCAGCCCACAAATTAGTCTAATAACAGTCCCAAAACAGCCCAAAACAGTGGCTAAAAGTGTGTTAAAGAGCACAAAAAGATAGACAAAAACAAGAGATATAAAGCTAGTAAGCAAATTCAAGAAGAGATGGCTAACCCCTCCACTTTTGAGACTTTTAAACCATGTTTTTCAGCCTTTACAAACTCTAAAAATTAGTATTTAGAGACAAGAAAAATAGAGGAAAAGAGTAGAAAAAGATGAAAGAAGAAGATGCAAAATTATACCTTTGAAAGAGAGGTAAGCTCTTAATTAACAAACTTGGTTCCAATACCCTCAAGTTTATGAAATTAGCTTTGAAATCTCAACAAAAAGCTCAAAGAACCAGCTCTAATGGTGTATGTATTGTGTATGTATAGTTAAAAGGTGATATGAAATCAAGGAAGCTTTTGGATGGAAGATGGATGCTCTATCAATGTCTAAGCCTCTTGGAAGATGTTCTAACCCTAAGATCTAAAGTGAGAGGTCCTATTTATATAATTTGAGATGTTTTGGTCGAAAATATCTTCAGAAATGGCAAGGTGGAAAAATCTCGTGCATGGGAGGAACCTGTTGTAAAGCACTGTCTGGCGCTATTGATACCCAGCCGGACCTCACTAATCCACGGCCGAATGTCACTGATCCATGGCCGGATGTCAAAATCTGCATTCAGGCCTGACTTCAAATGCGTATATCTCCCTCATCCAGACTCCGTTTTAGGTGATTCTTGAGTCTAAATTGAAGCTCCAGAAGTCTTCTTTCCAATGGAGTGGCCTCACATCTAAATTCTATGTGTGCAAAGAGATATGCCTAATTTAGTGAAGGTTGCTCATTTCTATCTTAATCGGATTGATGCCCAACTTCCAACGGTCAAATCTCCGCTATCCAAACTTGGTTTTAGATGATTCTTGAGTCCAAAGTGAAGCCCCGAAAGTCTGCTTTCCAATGGTAGTGGCCTCACATCTAAAGTCTAAGTGTGCAAAAAGATAGGCATGGTTTGTGAAGACTGCTCAGTTTCTCTCTCAACGGTTTCATGCTCAACCATTTCCGCAACTAGTTTTCTTCCCTCCCCTCCTATTTCCTTCAACTCCAAACCTATAAATAAGAGGTTTTAAATATTTTTCAAAGAGTTCACCTCCTTTCTATGTATCTCCACTTTGTCCTTATTCGATTTACCGAAAAGTGAAATGTTTTAAATGAAATGCGAGCCTCGGAACATCGTAGAAGCATTAGGACAAATATTTTGAAAAGAGGGTTTTGGTCTAAAATAGTTTGGCCAAAATGGGGTGTAAGGTTTGGGATTAGAGCTTTAATCCAAATTTCTTTGCTGAGAATTCAAACGATTTGCATAGTGTAACTTTCGTCATCGGGTGTTCGGAATCAAGCACCCAAGTCTTAAGGGTGGTCAAAAATGAGGTGTCTACACTAGGGTGCAGTTGTGGAGAAGTATTTTGCAAATGACACTATAACGACTCAGATTTTAAATTCACATTGGATTGATATATAGTGGTGCCTGTCACCTTAAAATTTGTATGGTTGTCGGACTCTTGATATTGATGGGTTGGCAAGTGAACTATAAATATTATAATTGAGGACCCTTGGATGATGTTTGGAACCTTGATCGAAGCCTTAACAAGATATATAGATAAGATTAGATAAAAAGTCCCAAATTTGAGTTTGAATTTTTGACCAGCCGTCACTTTTTTTCCCTTTTCTCCTTCCATACTTAGAATTTGAATGTGAGGTTGGAACCATTGGAAAGCTTGTTTCCGGGGCTTCAATTTGAACACAAGAATGGCCTAGAAAGGAGTCCCGATGAGAGAGTTATACCCGTTTGAAGTTTCCACATCTGTGCTGGAAGCAGAGCCGCACGTGCGGGCTGTGCGGGACAGCAGCTCAAAAACGTGATTTTTGGACCATTTCTTACATTTTCTTTTCCTCTGTTCTTCTCCCCTCTTCCATGTCCGAAAACTTAGCCCTAAAAACCTTGATTTCCTCCACTTTTATCAACAAATCAACCATGGATTTTGCATCAACGATGAAGAACAAGTGAAGATCAACATTTTCAACCGATTGGATTTTGGAATTTCGAAGTGATGCTCTTGACCTAGCTTCCTTGCTTTCAATCTTGAGGTAGGGGTCCTAGTTCTCCTTCAGTGCTTACATAAATAGATAGATTTTTGGTATTTTGGAGTATATAAATATAAGATCTACATTTTGAGCATATAGGGTTATATTATGGAAATTTGGGGATTTCGGATTTGAAGAATTTGGGGTTTTATTGTTGGGTTTAGATTATGGATTATGAACCTAGGATATATAATCAAGGGGAAAATTGGAAGAAAAAATAATGGGTTAAGAAGTTTGAATTTTTCTTGAAATTTCTAGGTTTTTCTAGAAACCCTAGGTTGATTTTTGATGATAATCAATTATTTGGCCCAAATTGAAAGTTGAATCATGAAATTGGTAGGTTGAATTATCTATGTACAAGTTTAATTGGAATTTGCCTAGGGTGGCCGGCCAAGATGATGATTTGGGAAGATTATTTTATTATTATTGTTTTTATACAATTTGATGGAAATTTCAAAATATAGTATATAATTTATTTGAATAGGTTTAATGGTACAACTATATATATAATAGTACTAACTTGAGGTCAATTTGTAATTTAATCAAAATGTGAGGGCTTTGGCTTTAATTTATAAATTGGAACATTTATTTAAGTGTAGAATTAATTAAAATTAGGATTAGAGAGTCTAATTAGGTTTAAATTTTTTGTTTCGAATAAAAATGTTATCAATCAACGAACATGATGAAAACCGGAAAAATCTAGGATTTCAAGTGGTAAATCCATATTTAGGGAGTCATTTAATCAGTATTAGGATATTAGAAATGATTCCTAAGTTATCGAAATCAATTTGGGTTTGCGAGTTTTCGCTTCTAGGCTTAAAGTTGGAATTATTTAGGAAATCAAGAGTCTTCATTTCAATATTCCAAAAGTAGGGGAATTTTAAGAAAATAAAATTTTTAGAGGCCTCACATTTACTTTTTTTTTTTCTTTTTCCAGATCTACTTTTTCTTTTAGTAGATCTGTAGAGCTTTTTTTTTTTTTTTTTTTGTGTGTGTTTGTGTGTGTAGTTGTTAATGATTGTGGTTGTTAAAGATTGTTGTTGTTGACGAATAGATAAAACAAACAGATAAGATTATGTGTTAATTTGAATAGATTTGCGTTGAATATATTAAAAAAAAGGTTTAAATTGTTATTTTCTCTCTCTAGTCTTTCTCAGTAGACAAACAGATCTAAACAGATTGCAGATTGAACAGATAAAAAAATAATTTGAATATATAGATAATAAAAAAAAACAAATAAGAAGTCCTTTACCTATGTATGGATGAGATTTTTAACAGATAAAGAGAAAAAAATTAAACAAATAGAAAAAATTGAATAGATAAATATTTTGAATAGAAAAATAATTTTAAAAGATAGAAAATAATTTGAGTAGATAGACAAAAATTTGAACAGATAGTCAAAAAATTTAAACAGATAGAAAATAATTTGAACAGATAGAGATAAATTTGAACGGATAGTCAAAAAAATTCAACAAATAAAAAAATAACAGATAAGTTAAGGGACAAAATTGGAAATAAAAATCATTCAAAACAAATAAAATGATTTTTCACCAAACTATTTCACAAGGATTAATCTATCACTAATAAAAAATATTCATTGAATTTAATATCTTATATCATCCTTACCTTGACCTTTCAATAAATTTCTCAATAAAAAAATGAATAATACTAAGAATATCAAATTTCTTTTTACCAAATATGGGATCATAAAAGTGCAAACGCTACATTCATATAAAAATTGTCATTCACTTAGTAAAAAATTTGAGATTTATAATATTTTTCATAAAAAATTAGAAACCCGACCCCACGCCCGTACTGCCTTGTTGCCATTCGTGGCCACGTCACTGCTTAGCTGGGCTTGTCTTTCCGAATCAGGATCCCTTCCTTACATTCTTCTTTCATTTTCTACTTGCAAGTTCATTGAGCCCACTTTTAGGTTCAATTTGGATAATTCGAATCATTCATATTTTAAGATTTGTTCAATATATCATACTTGTAAAAAATTAAATTGATCGGATATCAGAAAGTATGTGTTCGAAAAACTATTTATTAAATTCTTTAAAAAAATAATTTTTAATTAAAATTTTTTGAACACATACTTTTTGATATCTGATTAATTTAAATTTTTATAAATATAATATATTAAACAAATCTTAAAATATATGAAATGTTAGAATTATTAAAATTGGGCCTAAAATGGGCCCAATGTACTTGCAAGTAGCAAATGCAAGGAGAAATGTATGGGGGCATCCTGATTCTGTCTCTCCCTCCCAGATGACACGGCGTAAATCCTACTCCTCCTCCTCCTGCTGCTGCTGGATTTTTCTTTCTCTATAATCACAATGGCCTCCTCCAGCCACCCCAGCCTCCCTCACCCCCTTGGCCACCCCCACCACCCTCCTCCTTCCTCATCGGCTGCATCAACCTCCTCCACCAAGCCCAATTCGGAATTCCCGACTCTTCCTCAAAACCCTAGCAGCAATGGCCGCGCCTCCTCTGAAAAGAACCCTAACTCCGGCGCCGCCATCACCGCCGCCCCCGAAGACGTTCACCTTTGCAATTCCTCACATCTCACTCACCAGGAAGTCCTCAGGCGCCGCGCTCACAACTTCAACCAGCTGGCGACGGTTTACAAAGACCATTACTGGGCGATGATGGAAGAACTCAAGGCTAAGTATAAGGAGTATGTGTGGAAGTTTGGTCTGAGTCCGTTTAAGGAAGGTGAAGAGAAGGAGATTTTTAAGGAAGAAGTTGAAGACGATGGAATCGAAGGCAAGGGAGAGATGGGTTCGGAGGTGAACAGGCAATGCTTGTTCCATGGCTGCGCTCTCAAGGCAATGCCGCTAACGAAGTTCTGCTCTCTGCACATTCTTTCTGATCCGAAGCAAGTCCTCTACAAGCCTTGTGAATATGTGATCAAGAGGTTTCAATTCTCGTTTCTCTTCAACTTTCTTTGTTGGGTTTCTTTTTTAATTGTTAATTTCCTATTGTTTATAAGGAATTGATTTATTATGTTAATTAATGGGTTTATCTTATGTTGAATGATGAAGTGAAAATTTGGTTAAAAGCCCTACCTTTTTTTATTTTTTTTGTCAAACCTTTTCGAAAAATTTCAAATTTATCCCAAGAACCTGTTTTAACCTTTTTTTTTTTTTTTTTTTTTGAAACAAAACCATCTCCAATCCTTGCTCTTATTAAAATTTCATTAGTAAAAATGTGACTATTGGGAATTTAGTGGAGGATTTGGTCCATCCTTGATTTGGTGAAAAAATTGTAAGTTCCTTGATTTAATACAAAGTTGATGGAGGATTGTAGATGCTGTTACTTGGTTTAGTGGTGGGCTTTGTTAATTTAGGTTATCATGGTCTCTCCTTCGTTGGAAATGTTACTAGACGTATGAGGTATTAGCGTCAGATGCATGTTTGTAAATCGCAGTATCAGGACATGTTGCGGTGACAGTATCAGGAGTATTGAGCATTATGTAGGTGGCGCGGTTCTGAATTTTTTAAAATTATCAACACCACGTCTATAAACCAATGATATGCTTCGCTCTCTCTTTCTCTTTAATTTGTTTTTTAAATTTTTTTTAATTTTAATCGATATATTGATATATAGACGCAATTTTTTACTCATTGCAAAGTATTAAATAACTTACAAAGTCTAATTAATTAATAAGCTTATAAATTGTAATTATACTATTTTTATATTTTTATATTATTAAATATTTTACTCTTAAATATAAGTATTATAAAATTTGTATACTATAAGTTTATTATTGACGCTGTCATTAACCAAGAATTCAAACCTTTGCAATGACATTTAGAGCCATGTACCATGTTTCTTTTGAACAACTAGAGATCCTGTGGACCTACAGAGCATGGTAAGCTTGCTATGTGTCAGCTAATTATTGGAGCAATCTAATTCATCTTATTGAACCGCAAGTGAACTGGACTGGTTCATTAAGAATCATTAAAAGAATCCAGTTTAGGTATGAACCTGTTGTTTTGCGATCGATTTTTCAACCTCACCTGGTATATCAGGGCAAATCAGTATTGGAGACCCCAAAAGTCAGTTCGAACTAGCCGGTTCGTATCGAACTTATATAAACCATGGTTGGATGGCATCCAATATCTCTCGTTGGGCAAGCATGTCTAGTAATTGAATATTACTACATGCTTTACATACATTTGTATTCCTTTGTTACGTGGTTGCAGTGAAATGAGTTAAGTGCCCTTGCTGATACTCCATTCTACGTAAGAAGAACCATCTTATCCTATGAAATGACAGAACATGAAAAACATGGACATCTAGTTATGCTCTATTTTGGTAATGAATTGTAAGTCTAGACGCTTTGACCTAAAATTTAGTCCATTTTAAGTGGATTTTCAATTTTACGCGGATGCTGATTGTATGCCATAAAATGTGGTTGGTAGAATATCAATTTAAAATATTCAGACTCGACCCCTTAATGGAGTAAATATGGAAACAAGGCTAGGTTTGGGAGGAGGAACCTATTTGCCAACTCTGCCTTAGGAGGAAATAAATTCCCCAAACCTTTTACAAAACTGAAAAGTGGCAGGGTGGGTAAGACAGACAAGATTTAATGGGTGGGAGCAGGCTACCCTTAGGAACCCAATAATTCTTCAAAAGTTTAGACTAGAACTGTGTCATGGCAAAATTTGATTGGTTGTATGTGTGCTCATAGCAATCAGCCAAAGCTGTTAGTGGATTTTTTAAAAACTTTCCCACTGAGCCAAATGCCATTGAATGCTTCACCACTTGCTCCTATTGAATGAATGAGCAGCACCTTTTGAAGACTTGTGAGACACATAATATAACACTTGCAGCTGATGTAGGGCACTTTGTGAGAAAAAGGGAGTGCGAGTGTGGAACTAATTCGCTTCTCCTAGCATATTGGAGCAGGGTAGGTTTGGTCAAAGTATGTCCTGAATCCATCATGGGTTTTCCTTATTTCTTCCAAACCCGCCTCGCTTCTCCTATTTGGTGGGTGAGGTGCAGATTTAGGATATTGGGTTATTTAGTCATCCCTATAATGGGGTTACCAAATGACCTCTATATCAATATATTGCGAGGATGGCCTTGTCAACTTTTAGGGTGTAATACATATTATGTAGTGTCTAGAATGCATGTTTGGTTGACATGGGAAGTCTGAAATTCTGATGAAGTTTGTGAAAAACAGATTTTGATTGCCAATAAAATACTAAGCCTGCAAGTCAACCCAGTGAGGTCAATTGGAGACCATTCATTCAATAAACCATGGGGTGGAACCCCAATCTTGGACATAATATATGTTGAGGTCCAAAGTCATCCAATCTTGGACATAACATATGCCAAAGTCCAAAGACATCCTTATCATTAATTTCTCAGAATACTTGCATAAAATGATATATCAGTCATGATGCCATACAAGAAACCATTTAAGCTAATCATGTAAGATTTCTGAAGGTTTTTATTTAAAACACATTATGAAAACACATTTGATAAATTCCGAAGTCAGAGAAATTTGGTTAAAACACATTCTGAAGTCAGAGAAATTTGGTTAAAACATATTCTGAACTCAGAGAAATTCCGAAGTCAAAAATTTCTCTGGAGAAAAATTTCCAGAATTTCTCTGCAGAGAAATTTCTCTGGACCAATTTTCTCTGGATCAATTTTCTCTGGATTAACTTGAGGGACCTTAGACATTATGAAAATATTGAGTGTCCTTTATGCTGTAAAATCATAATACCAGGGACCTTAAAAAAAAAACCCCCTTATATAAACCATGGTTGGATGGCATCCTATATCTCTTGTTGGGCAAGCATGTCTAGTAATTGAATATTACTACATGCTTTACATACGTTTGTATTCCTTTGTTACGTGGTTGCAGTGAAATGAGTTAAGTGCCCTTGCTGATACTCCATTCTACGTAAGAAGAACTATCTTATCCTATGAAATGACAGAACATGAAAAACATGGACATCTAGTTATGCTCTATTTTGGTAATGAATTGTAAGTCTAGACGCTTTGACCTAAAATTTAGTCCATTTTAAGTGGATTTTCAATTTTACGCGGATGCTGATTGTATGCCATAACATGTGGTTGGTAGAATATCAATTTAAAATTTTCAGACTCGACCCCTTAATGGAGTAAATATGGAAACAAGGTTAGGTTTGGGAGGAGGAACCTATTTGCCAACTCTGCCTTAGGAGGAAATAAATTCCCCAAACCTTTTACAAAACTGAAAAGTGGCAGGGTGGGTAAGACAGACAAGATTTAATGGGTGGGAGCAGGCTACCCTTAGGAACCCAATAATTCTTCAAAAGTTTAGACTAGAACTGTGTCATGGCAAAATTTGATTGGTTGTATGTGTGCTCATAGCAATCAGCCAAAGCTGTTAGTGGATTTTTTTAGAACTTTCCCACTGAGCCAAATGCCATTGAATGCTTCACCACTTGCTCCTATTGAATGAATGAGCAGTACCTTTTGAAGACTTGTGAGACACATAATATAACACTTGCAGCTGATGTAGGGCACTTTGTGAGAAAAAGGGAGTGGGAGTGTGTAACTAATTCGCTTCTCCTAGCATATTGGAGCAGGGTAGGTTTGGTCAAAGTATGTCCTGAATCCATCATGGGTTTTCCTTATTTCTTCCAAACCCGCCTCGCTTCTCCTATTTGGTGGGTGAGGTGCAGATTTAGGATATTGGGTTATTTAGTCATCCCTATAATGGGGTTACCAAATGACCTCTATATCAATATATTGCGAGGATGGCCTTGTCAACTTTTAGGGTGTAATACATATTATGTAGTGTCTAGAATGCATGTTTGGTTGACATGGGAAGTCTGAAATTCTGATGAAGTTTGTGAAAAACAGATTTTGATTGCCAATAAAATACTAAGCCTGCAAGTCAACCCAGTGAGGTCAATTGGAGACCATTCATTCAATAAACCATGGGGTGGAACCCCAATCTTGGACATAATATATGTTGAGGTCCAAAGTCATCCAATCTTGGACATAACATATGCCAAAGTCCAAAGACATCCTTATCATTAATTTCTCAGAATACTTGCATAAAATGATATATCAGTCATGATGCCATACAAGAAACCATTTAAGCTAATCATGTAAGATTTCTGAAGGTTTTTATGTATATTCAATTGTATCAATTTACAAAGTGTTCATCAGTTTATATAGCCCTAAATTTATGACTGAAAAAGGAAATACTAACTAATTCATATTTACACAATTATGCCATATATACACAACATGCCATATATACAATATATTCTCACACCTCCACTCAAACTCAAGGTGTTTTAGCAGAAAACACTTAGAGTTTGTTAAGAAGAATCTGAAACCGAGCGGTAGTGTGAGTCTTGGTGAAAAAGTCCACAAATTGCAAGGCCGACGAGACGAAAGGAAGCAGGATAGAGTCAGACTGCAGATGTTATCGGACAAAGTGACAATCAATCTCAATGTGTTTCGTTTGTTCATGGAAGACAGTATTGTGAGCAATTTGAATAGCACTGTGGTTGTTACAATAGAGAGAGGTTGGAGAAGACTGAGGTACACCCAAATCAGAGAGAAGACAGCGAAGCCAGACAACGAAGCAGTAGCATG